CATCTATTCAGGAGGCTGAGAGCAACCTGGCCAACCGCCCCATTGATGTGGAACTCCTCTGCACCTCCATGGCCCTCTACGTTGCGCTGAAGGATGATGTTCGTTCAGGAGCATTGACCGCCCTCTGCGGCAAGCTTCACAAAGCCCTGCACGAGCTGGGCCCGGAGATGCTTGAGAGTGAAGCTGCGGGTTACTCCATGACGACCTACGAGCAGGTCGTTGCAGGCTTGGGTTTCTTCAGCGATGCCAGCTCCTTCAATTTGGCTGCGAAGCTGCAGAAATTGAAAACCAAGGTTGCCGAGCGACTGGTCATGGCCGACTTGAAACTGCTTCTTGACAAGTACCCCGACCAAGAGGTGGATGGGGGTGGCGATCGAGATTGCTCCGGGTTGCTGGGCGGCTTGTACGACGCTTTGCAGGGTGCAAGCAGCATGAAGATGCCTGAGGACATGCTTGTCTTAGCCCAGCGTGCTCTGTTCTGGCACTTCCGGTCTCTGTCCATCATGCTGCAGGACAACTGTTTGCTGTGGTTTAGGGCTCTGGCTTGCATGGGTATAGTAGTACTTAGTAGCAATAGTAGTAAGTAGTAACTAGTAAGTAGTAAGTAAAATAGTCAAGCCACTGGTCCTAGTTTAGCCACTCGTCACTTATCACTTGTCAGTGACTTGTCAGTCACTAGTCACTAGTCAAGTCACTAGTCAAGTCATACAGTCGTGTATACTGCCCACGAGCTACTCGTCTGTGTCGGTACGGTCATACTACTCATACTCACTAGTTCCCTGGTTGATGTCATGCCAGCTATGGCTATGGGTTTTCAACGCATATAATCGGTTTCTGTAACCATTTGCTGATGACAGGACCAGAAGATCCCGGAGAATCACAGAGACATCCTCAAGAAGGTGAAGGGCTTGATCGTGCATGCTGGCAGTGACTACTGCCTGGCAGAGTGGATGAAGGCTCAGATGGAGATCCTTTTCAACGGCTTTGCTGTGCTTGAGATGCTTAAGGATTTCAGCGCCGGTGGCCGTGACAGCGAGGAGAGACTCTCTGATGCCGAGAGCAAAGAGCGGAGTGACAGGCTGCTGGGCATGACCAAGAAGCTCACCTCATCTCTGACACAGAGTCTGAAGGCTCTGGTGGAAGTGAAGCACAAGCATGAGGAAAAGTTGGAAAACCTCATCCTCGACCCTGTGAAGTATGACACCCACAAGGCAGCGGCTGCCTTGCTGGAGGAGGAGACTTTCGTTCGAGTCGTGACTGGGCAGAGGGATCGCTGCCACCGTGCCATCGACGGTGCTGCGCAAAAGTTGATTGGTGTGACCAAGGGGTTGCATGTGCGGGACTCGGACACGAGTTGGAAGCACACATTGGCAGCTGATGCCAGCATCGACGAGGTGATCGCCGTTGGGGACAAATGCTTCAGCGAGAAAGGCGATGCCAACCTCATTGAGAAGGGCTACACGGAGCTGTACCAGGTGGGTCGCTGGCTCGGGTCCCTAGGTCCTAGGCCACGAGCGCCGCTAGGGTGACGAACTAGGTAACTAGGGTAACTGGGGCCACTACTATGCCATTATCTTGCACTTAATCAAAACCAGTGAGTCACCTCTTTCTGTACTTGTGTTGCAGTTGGTGTGGTTTTGTTCCGATACAACTGACCATTATTTCAACTTGATAGTTCCAATCTAGAATCTAGAACTTACAATCATACACTCATAGACTTGCAATTCTGCAGACTTCGAAGTCCAGTCCCGGGTCTTGTCTCCAGTCTTAGAGTCAAGTCTTAGAGTCTAGTCAAGTCGAGTCTGGTGTAGAGAGTTGAGTAGAGTCAGACTGCATGTAGATTTTTAGAGTCAACAGAGCAGACTCAGTGTAGAAAAGAAGGTCAGGCTGCATGTCTCCGTTTCGCCCTATGGCGATCCCTCTCGCGATCCCTCCCTCCTTCCCTTCCTCCTTGCCTCTCTCACTCTCTCTGTCTCTCTGTCTCTCTCTCTCTCTCTCTCTCTGTCTCTCTCTCTCACTCTCTCACTGTCTTTCTCCCTCTCTCCCTTCCTCCGCCTCAAACAAAAATCCCATCCCGGCACCGTGGCCATGGCTATGGCATATGGTCAATGCTATTGGCAGGTGATGCAGGACGGCAAAACCTTCCAGCAGAAGGTCGCAGACGCCGTGGATATGTCGGATTTCAGAGACCTTCTGTCACGAGCAGAGGTTCTCTATGCTGAGGTTCGTGCCATGTACAGCGAAGGATTGATCATCAACTCACTTCAGACGCCGCTGGACCCAGACAGCATCCGTTGCGTCAAGGCTGAGTTGAGTCTTATCGCGAGTGGCAAGGTGAAAGAGAGCCTCATGCAGAAGGCCCTAGTAACTGCTGCTCGGCAGCTGATGTCACAAAAGTGAGGAAACAGCTGAGCCGAGGCCTAAGAGCCCTAGAGGCCCTAGCCTCCCCAAGTCTGTGGCGGACTTGTTTTCGTGCGGCTATGGGGACAGCAACTGTTTGGAATTCGCGACCCCCCCGGTTGCCCTGGAACAGGCGTTGTGTTTTGTACCTGGGACATAACTACTACAGTTGCCATAAGTTACTGACTTTTGCATGGCATGGGGCTTCTGGGAGTTCGAATGTAGAATTAGTCTAGACTCTAAGACTAGGTGACCACAGGCTAGGCTAGACGCGGCTAGACTACGCGATCCTATGTCCTATATGTGCCACTGCTAAGCTGCTGAGCTGCTACTGCTAAGGGCTAGGCCTAGGCCCTACACCATATGTTGTTAAGCGGATCCCTTTGGACAGACCGGCCGCTTCAGTGGCAAACACAGCTTTCGAATGTTGTCCTTGAGCCAGCACATTTCTTCGCTCCCTTTTGCTTGCAGGTGTGCCTCTAAGACTCTAAGCGGCATGCCAGCAGCCAGCCGAGCTGACTGACAAAAGTCAAAAGCTTGTGACTCACGACACGTGTCTTCGAGAATCAAACGTTGTGCGATGCCTGCTGCAATGGCCTATGTTGTCTGCTGAAGCGATGGAAGCTTGGGTTCTGGAGCCGGGTTCGGGTTAAGGGTCGGGATTCAGACGGCAAGAAGCATCAGGCGTAGGTCTGTTCGTCCTCCAGCAGGTCTGTTCAGACCCCAAGTTTCCCAGCGGTGTATATGGTAAACTCACCGAGTCTATGTCTATGTCGTCTACGTGTACATGGGCTTCTCCAGTAGCCGTACAACCGTACAGCATAGGTAGATCGAGACGCCAATGCAAGCATTGTTTCGCGAATTCGAGGTCGAATCGGTACCGGGACGGGCTTGACCTAAGTGAATTAAAACCGAATCCTTCAATTGAATCAAAAGTGAATCCACACCCGAATTAAAGACAATCTCACGTTCGTGATATCCTCTTATCCTTTTGCCAACAGGTGATATGTTCACCGTCCTTTCTTTGTAATCGTTTGATCACGCCTTTGTGAAATTGCTCATGGTGCTCCCGGGCACAAATGTAGTTGGGCATGCCGCATGAATTCTGTCCTTTATTTTTGGAATGTAGTCGGATTCGCTTTTAAATGTGTCGACTACTTTTCAATGCTTTGACACTTGTTGTCTGATGGAACAATGCTCCACTGAAGGTTTTGGCTCCGATGCGGAGCTCACATGTGAAAAATTTTGAGGCCTCCATGTCCCCTTGACTTTCTAGCAGGCCTCAGGTGCTAAACTCGGTGTTGGGTCTAGCCCGCCAGTGCGTGCATGGGCAGCGACGGTTCCTTGGAGCCCGCGCGTGACAGGGTCTCCAGTGCAAAGTTTCGGACTGTCCGCCGGTGCATGCATTGCTGCTTGCTCAGGGTTTCCCCTGAGCCATGGATCCTTCACAGGCCCATGTGGCCATGAATCGCGCATTGGACTCAGATACTCCTCCGCCCGTAGGGTTTAGGATGGGGGACTGGTTTCGGGCTAGGATTAGGTCTGCTAGGGCACCCTATCAGCCTTCAGTGCACCATGCCATGTCTGTCTTGAGCGCGGCTGCTATCGACATGCCGCTTCCTTGGGAGTCAGGTTCGCTAGCGGCTGTGTTGGGGGCAAGGCGTTTCCTTTCTGCGCCACTCGTACCATTGGTGGCCGAGCAGGTTGGGGACCAGCCACAGGTGAGGGAAACGGCTCAACGAGTTAGGGCGTCTAAGGAACCTTGGAAGTCTTCGGTCGTGCATTCTCGTGCCTGGGCGGATGTCGAGGACGATAAGAGGACCTCGGTGCTTGAGATGTGGAAGCTCATTGTACTGACTTCAGGACGAGGGACTAAGGTAGGCCGGGATCTTGTTAAGATGCAGAGCGAGGGTTCCACAGCCGCCTTGGTTGATCAGTGCCTCCGTGATGTGTTCTCGGCAAAGTCAACTTCGACCCTCAGGTCGAGGGCATCCAGCCTGGCCCAGTTTTCCAGGTGGCGGGCATCGGTCGGACTTGACCCTGCAGTGTTTCCTCTTGAGGAGTCTGATGCATACCTTTACTTGTGCTTCCTTAGGACCGAGGGGGCACCCCGGTCAAGGGCGTCCAGGTTTCGAGAAGCTGTTAACTTCTCCGGGGCACTGCTGGGGGCAGACGTAAGCGAGGTTGCTTTATCTGCTAGGGTTCAAGGGGCCGCAAATCCTCAATCCCAGACCGTTGTGGTGCGCAAGAAGCGGCCGCTTACAGTGGCCCAGGTCCGTGGTCTGGAAGAGTGCGTGATCAGCTCACCTAATGATTTAGCTGCAGTGCTTGCTGGCTTCGCCTTGTACTGTCTTCACGGCCGGCTGCGTTGGAGCGATGCCCAACATACCGAGGCTGAGCCGGTGCTTGACTTGCATGAAGGAAAGGGTTTCTTGAATGCTCAGTTGTATCATCATAAGACTGCCAATCGTGGGTCGCTTGCCCGGCATAGGCTTTTGCCAGTCGCTTGTGTTACTCCAGGCTTGGCCGAGGGAAACTGGGCTGAGGCTTGGCTAGCTCGCAGGCGAAGGCTTAACCTTGTCGCTTCCCGTGGCACCCCTATGATGCCGAGACCATTGTGCCAAGGGGGGTTCGACGTGCTGCCCCTCGATCCTTCGCTAGGGGCCCTATGGCTTAGGGAGATCCTAAAGGAGTGCGCGCCTTGTGGGAATTCTTTTCCGTGGGGTGAGGTTGCCACGCACAGCCTTAAGGCTACGCTTCTGAGCTTCATGGCAAAGGCAGCTGCGTCTGAGAACCTCAGGTCCATTGCGGGATATCATATCAGGTCCGCGAATTCTTCCACTCTTGAGTACTCTCGGGATTCGATGGCACCATCGTTGCATTTTCTTGAGGGCATGTTCATTGCTATCAAGGGTGGCATTTTCGCTCCAGATTCGACCAGGGCCGGAAGGTGGACAGGAGGCATTCGCTCCATTGAGGAGGCTCTCCGTTTCCTGTCTGGGGTTCAGCCGGACCCACCAGACGATCGTCCACCGCCGGCGGACGCGCCGGAAATCGAGCCTGGGGATCAGTCAGATCCTGAGTCCGCTGCTGAGAGTATCGGAACGGAGGGCGAGGCTGATGAGGCCGTTGCTTCCGCATTTTTCTTGGGTGAGGATCTGAACGTCTCTGCTGAGGCCCGAAGTTTTGTCAAGTGTTTTAGGCATCGTATGAGTGGAGTTGTCCACGCGGCTCGGGATGGCCAGCCTGCTGATGAGGGCGAGATGACAGTCTTCAGATGTGGACGTTTTGCAAACCGTAATTATGAGGAGCTCGATGAAACTCCGGCAATAATCTTGCAGAAGTGCTCTTCGTGCTGGGGAGCAAGTGACTCGGGCCTTTGAGGAAAATTGAACCGGGGCGCGTTCTGCAGTTTGTCGTGGGTAGTCATTGGGGCTGCTTTGAATGAACGAGGATTTCCATCTCATGTTCGATGTGGCTGTGCTGCATGTTGCTTGAGGATGCTCACGCTGACACTTCATGTCGCATGTTGTCATGTTTTGCAGTTTTTCGCTCATGAGCGCATCCAGGTGACCACGCACGGTGAACATGTCCCTGTGTAGGTGCTTTGCATGACATAGCTTTGTAATTTTTGTCTAGTGTCACATGTGACATTTTTCCGTAGGTTGCGTCTTGCGGGTGTAGACATGTCCGCCATCGATAGCGAGGCTGTGTTCTTGTCAAAGTGCACTCAGCTGGGGCTGCCCGAGGATGCTCGGGGAAAGCTCAAACGAAAGGGCTGGGCCACTTTCGGCACTTTTGCATTCTGCGTGCCAGGGGAGCCCGGAAGGATTCCCGATGATGTCTTCAAAACCTCCGTTGTCCAGCCAATCCTCGGTGATGGGGGTGAGGAGCATCAGGCGAAACTTAGGCGGCTCCACTTCGAGGCATATGCTTTGACAGCAGCTGAGCTGAAGCGGACGGCCGAGTCCACGGAGTCAGATCAACCGCGCAAGGTCCCGACGGCAGAGCTCGCTGCTCGCTATGATGTGTTGCAAAAGCGCGTTAAGCCTCTCCGGCTTGTGGACCGCTTGGAGCCTTCGCATGCGCTTGTGAACCTGTCAGCCCAAATGCTTGAGGATCAGCGGGTGCGCTACATTGAGTGGTCGAAGTGTACTAGTCGTGCCCAGGAGATAAATCTTGTGAAGGAGGACGCTAGCTTGAAGCTGCTTCAGGGTGGCCGCTCAGGATCCGTCAAGCTGGTGGATCCCGGTGCTAAAATCACTGCTGATACTAAGTCTGACCTTGAGGTGATGCAGGCCTTGCGTCGCAGAGGGGTGGCATATGAACTTGCTGCCATCATGTCGTTCGAGAGGCACGAGGAATTGATTGACCGACTGTTCATGGAGTACCAACGTGAGCCCATGGCTGGGTTTCATCCCGTCTCCTTCTCTCAACTTCAGGCTGCGGACAGGGAGGTTCATGTTCGCATGGGGGAGCTCACCCGAGCTGGACTTGTGCCAGGGGCGGATGGCTCCTTGCCGCTTGACATCCCGGTGTCTCGGGTGCTGGCGGGCTCCCACATCCAGTGGATGTTGATGCCTCGGCAAAAGGGGTCCGGTCCCTTGGGCAGTTCGGGCGCTGGTGAGGCTAATGAGAAGCCGGACAAGCCACCGCGCAAGCCGCCCAAAAAGACGGATCCGTCGAAGGCGACGGATAGGGGTCCGGGCGCCGATAAGAATCAGAAGGCTGATTCCGGTGCATCGCCGAATGCGGCTGATCGACCTGGCAAGCCACGGAAGACTCGCTTCGTCATGCCAAAGGCGCTCATCGGTGGGGTCCCCAAGGACGGGGCCGGGCGTAACATCTGCTTCGATCATAACCTTGGGAAATGTCCCAACGCTGCGGGGGCCTGCCCAAAGGGGGAGCATGTGTGCTGCTTCCCTGCATGCTTCGATGCCTCGCATGTTTTCTCCCACCACGGGTCGTCGTGACTAGGGCCCGTTCGCTCTAGCCCAGGCCAGGTACACAATGCAACACATGTGCATGACACGGCCACCAGCCATTTTGGCAATGATCGTGATACGAATGCGGAAGTTTTTGCTGCTACCTTGATCGGCAAAGTCGATGCGGGGGGCATTCGTCGTCTTTTGGAGCTGCTTCCCTCGGAGGCACCGTCGCGCGGTTCGCGTGAGGTGGGCCGTGGGTCCGAATTTTCTTTCACAACAGGTGCTTACACCTATGATCATGGCAAGCGGCACGGCCTTCGCCAACATTGCCGCGACTTTCCGATGTCCACTAAGGTTCTGAATGAGTTTATGCGTTCGATGGCGCCGGGCGCCTGCTACACTACACTGGCCTTGTTTCGTGATCTTGAGACCCGGGTCCACTCAGACCACGGAAATGATCCCAGCCTGATGAATACCATCCTGAAGGTTTCTGAGTTCAGCCACGGTGGCCTCTGGGTCGAGACGGTGGGCGGCAAGGTCCCGTGCCCGCTTCCGCATCAGGGCCAAAGGATGGGTAACGTTGTCGAGTTTGCCAATGGTGCATTAAGCTTCGATGCCCAACAGCCGCACTGCGTTATGCCGTGGTCTCGCGGGCCCCGCGTGGTTCTTGTGGCATTTAGTGTACGGAACTGGGCAAACTTGCGTCGTGCAGACTTGACTGAGTTGTCAAACCTGGGGTTTAAGTTGCCAACCTTGGGACCTGACTCAACGGCCGGTCCCGAGTCTGCCTCTTCGGTTCTCCCTAGCCCTGGGTTTTTCCCTTTTCCGCCACCGGCGCCAACCCCGGCGCTTGCAGCTTCACCTGTCACCCTGCCTCCTCAGGCGAGCGTCCCAGGGACTGCGCCTGCCGCAGCGGATCATCCTGATCTCGGTGGGTCAAACGTGGCTCGTGATGTGACGGCCACTGCGCAACCTTCCTTCATCGAGTTGTTCTGTGGTTCTGCTGGCCTTTCGGCCGAGGTGCGCAAGCTGGGGTTCCGCGTGTTGGGCGTTGATCACAAACCCACCGCTAAGCATGCCAATGCACCTTTCGTCAGCTTGGACTTGCGCGACCCAGAGCAGCAGGACCGCATTTGGGTCGAGTTGCGCCGTGCTCAGGCCGTGTGGATTGCTCCCCCGTGTGGGACTGCATCGATTGCGCGGCAAATCCCTCTTGGACGGTCGGCTAAGGGACCTGCACCCTTACGGAGCCCGGCTTTTCCAGACGGGTTGGCATCCTTGCGTCCCGAGGATCATGCTCGAGTACAAAGTGCCAATCTTTTGTATGCCTTTGCCGCCAAGGTTTGGACGTTCTGTCTTGAACACGATATCCTTTGCATTGTGGAGAACCCGGCATCAAGCCTCATGTGGCAAACATCGTGGTTTCGGACACTTGTCCCGCGTGGCGTGTGGCACGAGCTGCATTCTTGCATGTATGGATCTGCTCGAAAGAAGCGCACTGCCTTGCTGGCTACATGCCGCCTTCCAGGTCTCATGTTGCAGTGTGACAAATCACACGAACACAAGAAATGGGGTCGTGTGCGCGATCCGGACGGGCGTGGTGTGCACTATGCCACTGCCGAGGAAACCGCTTACCCAGCCGGCCTGTGTACGGCAGCAGCCCGTGAGATCTGCTTGGCATTGCAAAATAAAGGGATTATGCTTGATGTGCGCGCATCTTCGGACACGGCCCTGGCATCTTCCTTTGCGCAGCGGCAGCCTCGCCGCGGCCGCGGCATTGTGGGTCCGCCTGAGTACAAACGGACTGTCCTTGTCCGGCTCCCTCGTGACTTTCAGCCCCCGGACCATGTGCCAGATGAGCCACTTGCAGTGCTTCGCGACCTGCCTGCGGGCTCCAAGCTTCTGTGGACTCGCGTCTTTGTTGATGGGGGTGTTGAGGTTCGCGAGGCCCAATTTGGGGTATACCATACACCGGATGAGTTTCTGAATGCTGCCTTGAAAGTGACCCATCCCTTCGACAGTGCAGTGTCTATTGACGGCCCGAACCTTCGGGCAATTGCATTCACTCTTGAGCATGGGGTTAAGGCTGTGCAGCAAAGACGTATGGAGGTTCTTGAGCACTATCGTGCACTGGAGCACTCTCTGAGGTCTGATGAGGAGGCTCTTAAGCAGGCAATGGACCCTACGGTACGGGAGATCATGGGCAACAAGAAGCTGCTCTTGTTCAAACAGATGCTGAAGGATGCAGGTGTTCCTGATGAGCGCCTCTTCGAGGATATGGTTCAGGGATTTCGGTTGACTGGTCCCCTTGAGCCTTCGGGTTTGTTTCCCCCTAAGTATAAGCCTGCCGTCATCTCAGTGGATGAATTGCGGCGCACTTCGCAGTGGTCCAAACACCTTGTCGAGGCTGCGTGTCGGAAGGCTTCACAGGATCCTGAGATTGCGAGGGCTGTTTGGGAAGAATCGTTGGGGCAAGTCGAGAAGGGATGGTTGTCGGGACCATTCACATGGGATCAAATGGATCAGAAGTATGGGGGCACTTGGGTGGCGTCCAAGCGCTTCGGGGTGTCTCAGGGCGACAAGGTGCGTGCTGTCGATGATCTCTCGCAGTTTCAGGTGAATGCTTCGGTTACTGAGACCGAGAAGATTCAACTTGAAGGCCTTGATGACATTGTTGCCCTTGCGAGATTCCACTTGGGTGCCACTGTGTCGGGCACCAAGGTTTTCAGGCTCCCCTTGTCAGGCGGCGGCGTCTATCAGGGCCGTTTGCATCCTGACTTCAGGGAAGGTCGGGCACGGCGCTTGAAAGGCAGGGCTCTTGACTTGCGGAGTGCATACAAACAGCTAGCTCGGCACCCCGCCGACGATTGGGCTTCGGTGCTAGGAGTCTTAGATCCAGACACCAACACTGTGGCCTATTTTGAGAGCCACGCTCTTCCGTTCGGCGCATCGAGCGCGGTGACAGGCTTCAACCGGGCTGCGCGTGCATTGCGCATTATCATGTCCAGGCTTTTGTTCCTTGTGAATACGTCATTCTTTGACGATTTTTGCCAACTTGAGATTGATGGTCTGACTGATTCTGCGGATCAGGCGGCGCTTGCACTGCTTGATCTCCTTGGCTGGGAGGTGTCCGATGGCGAGAAGTTGAAACCTTTTGCTTCGGAGTTCACCATGCTTGGTGCAGTGCTATCCTTCAAAGATGCGGGTAGGGGTCTGATTAGGGTTAGGAATAAGGCCGGTCGCTTGGAGGAAATTTCTTCCATGGTAGATCGCTTTGCTGCTGACCCCGCATGTGGGGCGCGATCCCTCCCGTCGTTTAAAGGGCAAGCTCTTGTTTGCATCTTCGCATGTGTTCGGTCGCTGTGCTCAGGTTGCGACTCAGTTGATTCACCATGCCGAGCGACAACCTGGTCCTGACGTGCATGGTTTCGTCTTGCAATCCCTCAAGAGGGCGC